AGACCAGAACATGCACACTGCTACAGATAAGAGCCTGCAACACAGGGAATCCAGGATAGATAAACCCCTCAGCACCAACAATGAGAATAGAGATGCCAGGAGGATAAGGGGAAAGTAGGGAGATAAAGAAGGAACTGATCACAAGGATCAGCATACAATCCCCTCCCAGGGGGAGGAACAACAGAAAAGTGGGTGAAGGTTGATAGAGAATGTGAGATATGAAAATAATAATCTATAACTTATCAAGGGTTCATGAGCAAGGGAGGGAGGGTGAGTGATGGAAAAAATGAGGAGCTCATACCAATGGCTCAAGTAGAAAGAAAATGCTTTGAAAATGATGATGGCAACATACGTACAAATGTGCTTGACACAATGGATGAATGTATGGATTGTGATAAGAGATGTAAGAGCCCCCAATAAAAGTATTTAATAAAAAAATATATATATATCTGAAAAAAGTAAAACTCTTAGAAAAATAAATAAATAAAAGTTGTGTTCAGAACTTCCTCAATAGTATTTTAAAACTAGTACTAATCAATGACATTATAAATCAGTGGTTCTCAACCTTCCTAATGCCACAACCCTTTAATGCAGTTCCTCATGTTGTGGTGACCCCCCCCAACCATGAAATTATTTTTGTTGCTACCTCATAACTGTCATGTTTCTACTGTTATGAATCACGTGACCCCTGAGAAAGGGTCATTCAACCCCCAAAGGGTCAAGACCCACAGGTTGAGAACCACTGCTATAAACAGAAGAAGGTCCTTATGCTCCAGGGAGGTGATCAATAAGGTTCGCTACTATAAGTTAACAAGGAGGTCCTTAAGGGGAACTAGAGGCGAATAAACAGCATATATTCAGGAATGAATTTAGGACTCACACTTAATCCTAGCTCCAAACTAATAACAATTAGTTCTTACACCATGGCCCTGGAAAACACTTGCCCTCGTGTGGTAGAGAAATTAGATGGTGCTCAGCCATCAGAAGAAATAGTGTCTGGGGTATTAAAGGCTTACTTTCAAACAAGCAGCCATCTGAGGACGACATCAACTAAGCCCATAGGGAAGAAGCACGCTACCATCTGTGATCCACGGACTGTAAATTCTATCATCCAAATCTGAAAGAAGGAAACGTATCAGAGCTTTAAGTGTGAGCTGCTGGTGCGCAGGAGGCTATGGGTGACAGTGGAAGCTCTTGCAGCATCTACCCAGGGAGTACGTTGCCTGTAACTGCCCTCTCACCACAATGGAGGGATGGGAACAACTGGTTACAGACAGAGGACTGGAGAGACCTACAGCAGACTGAAATGATCCATCTGACGTGAACAGGGGCTTCAAAAAGTTCATGGAAATTTTTGTATTTTAATTTCATTATTCGCTAACTTTTTGAAGCCCCCTTATATACAATAGAGTACATAGGGGAAACAGGTATTAAAAACTGAACCACTGGAGTTGAAGGGTCAAGTGGCAAAACACAGTTCATAATGTTCTACATCCGAACCTGGTGAGTGGTATCTGGCATCTTAAAAGCATCCACGTGGCCAATTAAGAAACAACTCTTGATCTCTTCCCACCTGGATCAAAAGAACATGCAGAAAACCAGAGGCACAGGAAGTAATAAACACAAAGGGCGAATGGCCCCCGTGAACCACAGCTTCCTCTAATCTGAGACCAAAAAAAACTAGACATGCCCAGCCTTGTGGGCCTAGACGGCAGGCCTTGTGGGCCAGGACCACAATACAGAAGTGCCCAGTTCAAGGGACTAGAAATGCAGAAGGAGATTCATTCTGCTCTCAGACAAACCTTCTGTCCTGAAACTCAAGACACTTCCAGAGACCGCCTTCCAGCCGAACAAAAGGCAGGTCTTAAAAATAGTCAATAACACCCGTGAAGAATGGGTTCCTTAGAAAAGTCAACGCTATCGGAGGGGCATGCTTACGCAAGACCAGAGCTGAGCAGACAGACAGGGGCAGGGGCGCAGGATGAATGCAATTGGGGAACTCAAGGAGGAAGCAGAGGGCTGACACATGGCTGGGATCGCAGCCGATGTCAGGGAATGGTTGGTGTCTAAATTATCGATTCGGAAATTTGCTAGGTAAATAGTCACCTAAAGTAAGGTGACCAGACATCCCGCTTTTGGTGGGGCAGTGCCGATTTTTAACAATTTTTCCCACGTCCCGCAGCATTTTTAAAAAGTCCCGATTTTTGGAAAGAATGCACGACAAGCTAGGGTATATGGTTTTCGGCTGCCATGTG